TTGCTCGGAAAATAATGGTTACGTTTTAAGTTTTATTTTTTTGCTCGTAAAATAATGGGTACGTTTTAAGTTTTATTTTTTGCTCGGAAAATAATGGTTACGTTTTAAGTTTTATTTTTTTGCTCGGAAAATAATCGTTACGTTTTAAGTTTTATTTTTTGCTCGGAAAATAATCGTTATTTCTTGAGTTTTATTTTTTGCTCAGAAAATAAAACTTAATTTTTGCGTATGCGTATGCGCTTTTTTGGACTTTTTCTTTGTAATTGTGGTTATCTTTGTTTCTGCCCTGGTATCTGTATTTTCATTACCCACTCCACAGTGGCGTTAAAGGTTCAATGCAGCCGCCCCCTGTCTATTCATGCATGCGCATACGCATACGCAAAAATTAAGTTTTATTTTCTGAGCAAAAAATAAAACTCAAGAAATAACTATTATTTTCCGAGCAAAAAATAAAACTAAAACGTAATCATTATTTTCCGAGCAAAAAATAAAACTTAAAACGTAACGATTATTTTCCGAGCAAAAAATGAAACTTAAAACGTAACCATTATTTTCCGAGCAAAAAATAAAACTCAAAACGGAACGATTATTTTCCGAGCAAAAAATAAAACTCAAAACATAGCGATTATTTTCTGAGTAAAAAATAAAACTCAAAATATAATGATTAAACTTGATTTTTATAAGTAAAAATTAAAAAATAAAAATCAGCGCCGCTGAAGGTACTCCGAGTAATAAGAAATATATTGGTTTACTCCTTATGCACGTAGCATTTCTCTTTCCGCGTGATTTTTTGAGTTGAATTTTCAAAGGATAATCGTTATTTGCGGTCCCTGGTAAATATTAAAGTTAATTTATTCAAAATTGATGCTTGCGAAAATTCTTTACCAAGAAATACGTTTATGGTAAAATTTTTGAAAATGGGCGTGGCACCGCCCACTTATGATCACATATATGTATATCGGTAACCGTTCTACCAATTTTTACCAAACTCGCTATTTTTATTGTGCTTGCCACATAAAAGCAAAACGTTGAAAATTATAGAAATCGGACTAAAATTACGGCCGCTTTTCATATAACGGTAAATTTCAGAAATTCTCGAAACTGCAATATTTCGAAATTTAAGGACGCTAATTGACTCAAAATTGATACACACCGGCTTACCATCTAGCGGTAGCTTTCGGGAAGGTGAAAAAACATATATTTAATACTTGCGCCGGGTATTTAATGTTCGGCTCCACCCGAACTTAGACTTTCTTACTTGTTTAAATTGAAATAACTGCGCAAATCTAATGTCATTAACAAAAAGTGCGTTCACGTATTATAGGCAAGGTAGTAATTTTTAAAGAGGCGGCAACCCCACTAAAAACAAAAGCTTATTCAACCAAAAGATCTTAAATTTTTGTATACAGGTGGCAACCCTATAGAAATTCTAAGTACTAAAAATAATACACCTATCAATACAGATTACGTTAAGCAAAATCTCGTCCAAATCTGTTCTGTAATTTTCGAGATTAATAATAATAATAGATAATAGAATGGCGCTTACACATACATATGTATGCTAGTGCTTAGGCGAGTTTCTACGATTTGTGATGTCTTTATGTTGTCACACAAAGGGGAGGGACCTGCAGTTTTACGCCGACGACGAACGGCGCTTGTATTTTTTACAAGAAACTGTTTTTTATGGCGGAAATACACTCAGAGTTTTGCCATTGCCTTAGAAAACCAAATTTTTTATTTTGATGTTGGGTTGAACCGGGCTTGAACCCAAGAACTGCGGAATGGTAACGCGCACTGCTAACCACTACACCACAGCGGCCGCACATTTCAGATTGGCGTGGTGAAAAAATCTCAACTTTGCTTTATGCTATGTTAGGATCAAAGAGTAATTTTTAAATAGCTGGCAACCCAACTCAAAAAATACATTTTTTCGTGCATGCGAGGTCCATGCCCTCATTTGGTATCTCATTTTTTTATCCAAGGAACGGTGAAGCTGTTGTAATTTTTAAACAGGTGGCAACCTACTTCAAAAATAATAAATTTTTGCAGATCTATAACCTAAGCCATTTCATTTGGCAGTGATGGTGCAGAACTGATACCTTCGCTTACTGAGATTTAATTGTCCTAACAGATAACAACCCTGTTCAAAAAAAAAAATATCATTTATGCTTATGTAGAGGCCAACCGCTTTCATTTGACACCTCATTTTTTCTAATACAACGAAAGCACATAGGGGTATTTGGCCGATTTAGGCGGCCAAAATTATTTTTATAGAAATTTTAACTCAAAATGTTTAGAAAAGACGTTCTTCGACATTTAAAATTGTAAATGTTTAAAATCAAGTAAATAGAGCGGGACGTACAATTATTCCTTCAAAACAACGAAAATAAAGTTGATTAAGGTTTGACATCGATAGACTCTTATGTTGCCGTGGTCCGATTGTAGAAACACGCATACTCTCTCTCTCTCTCGGCGAGGAGAAACTTAAATATAATTAAGTTAACTGAATTACTACAATATGTGTATTAATCAAAATGGTTTTGAAAAGGCTTTATTTCTAAACAACATGTGGAAGGGTTACCACCTGTTTAAAAATCAAATTCAACTTTAATTAAGGGTATAGGACAAATGATTTTTTTTTTGATAATGTTGCTTAAAACTTTGTGTATAGTTATAATGCGTATGGAGTTGCTTGGGATATAAGTCATAAATAAAAAGATGGAAATAACCAATTTTATCTTGTAATGCAATGTATAATAAATGTGTCAAACTCTTTATTCTCGCTCTAATTGCTTCACCTGGTGTAATGAAGTATTTTTTGTGATTGTTTTGTAATTGAATTTAATACTTTTAATTTATTTTTTTTTATAGCAATGGTGCAATAACTTAACTTTAAATATAGTAATAGATTGCTACAATGTTCTAGTCAGGGAAACAATCACTTTGTCTGTGATGTTAAAAATAAATATGTCTAGTGGAAAAAAGTGTTGTTATCTTTGATGTCGTTGGAATTAGGATTATCTGTGTTCATCTACCTATATAGCTTTTTGCGTACGGATTTTCTACAAATTTTTCACGCACCAATTTTCGCCCGTGTACGGATTTTAGATTATAAACGTCTGGCAGCCCTAATTTAATTTGCATTTAAGTTAAACTGATTTACTCTTGGGTGAAATAAATGTGTGAATACCATATACATATATTATGATAATTTTCATTATTTCAGCCTGGACAAAATCCTGGGGACTTGCCCATTCAAGTCGGTAACAAAACTGAGTGTGCTCTATTGGGATTCGTGCAAGGTTTAGGAGTGAAATATCAGTCTATTCGGGACGAAATTACTGAGGACAAATTCACCCGTGTATATACTTTTAATTCGGTGCGTAAAAGTATGGGTACTGTCATACCTCGTCCAAATGGTGGTTATCGCCTGTTTTCAAAAGGAGCTTCAGAAATTATGCTAAAAAAGTATGTAACAATATGTTACGTGATATTATAAAGAAGTGTGTTTTATAATAAACAAATCTAGATGTTCTTTCATTTATGGGCATGACGGCGTTCTGGAGAAATTCACTCGTGATATGCAAGAAAGGCTGATACGTGAAGTTATTGAGCCAATGGCTTGCGATGGTTTGCGTACCATATCTGTCGCTTATCGAGATTTCGTACCTGGAAAAGCGGCTATTAACGAAGTTCATATTGATGGCGAACCGAATTGGGATGATGAAGAAAATATTATGACGAACTTAACGTGTTTATGTGTGGTAGGTATTGAAGATCCCGTCCGTCCGGAAGTTCCTGATGCTATACGTAAATGTCAACGTGCTGGTATAACTGTTCGTATGGTTACTGGAGATAACATTAACACTGCACGTTCAATTGCCTCAAAATGTGGTATACTGCGTCCAAATGAAGATTTCCTTATATTGGAAGGCAAAGAATTCAATCGTCGTATTAGGGACAGTAACGGAGATGTGAGTCAATTGCGTTTGCAATCTTTGATCATTCATATAATTTTCGTTATTTCCTATTGCATGGTTTGCGGACAGGTCCAACAACACTTGCTTGATAAAGTTTGGCCAAAGCTGCGTGTTTTGGCGCGGTCGTCGCCTACTGACAAATACACGCTTGTTAAAGGTAAGATCTTTTACATACAAGAAAAAGTGTTAGTTCATACTACTATATTTATAATAATAATTGGCAGGTATCATTGATAGTAAGGTAAGTGAAAACCGTGAAGTAGTCGCTGTAACTGGTGACGGCACCAACGATGGTCCCGCGTTGAAAAAGGCAGACGTAGGCTTTGCGATGGGCATTGCTGGCACTGACGTGGCTAAGGAGGCTTCAGATATTATATTGACAGATGATAATTTCAGCAGCATTGTGAAAGCGGTGATGTGGGGACGTAACGTGTATGATTCCATTGCTAAATTTTTGCAGTTTCAACTGACTGTCAATGTTGTTGCTGTAATTGTTGCATTTATTGGTGCATGTGCTGTGCAGGACTCACCACTTAAAGTAATTTCCTTTAAAATTGTAATTATGGCCCTATAATGAATACAACTGATAGTCGATGGGCAAACATATACTAAAATTCGCATTGAGTATGGCAGCTCGCTGGCTGTCGGCTACTGACTCTGGGAGCGCAATTTTCTGTTTTCTGCTTATGAATATTTTGCTATTTCTTTACATAAATTGTCAAACACATTGGATCAAAGTTACAAATAACTTCGAAATAAGATTAATCTCTATTCATAACCCACAGTACATACGGATAACAGACCAGCAATTGGACACCAGTCGCCTTTCATAATAGGGCCATGCGAAAATTTAAAAACACGTTTATATATATGTATATATTATCAACTCGGTAGGCTGTACAAATGTTGTGGGTAAATCTCATTATGGACACTCTTGCGTCTTTGGCCTTGGCTACTGAACTTCCAACACCTGATTTGTTATTGCGCAAACCCTACGGCCGTACCAAACCACTGATATCACGCACAATGATGAAAAACATATTAGGACAAGCCCTGTATCAGTTATTTATAATTTTCGGCCTGCTCTTTGTGGGTAAGATTTAAGTTGGCAAATAAATACTGTACTCGAATGAAAATAGTTCACCCATACAAACAAAATAATTATGTTCAACTGGTATTTATGTGTTCTGTGTATTTCAGGCGATTGGATACTTGATATTGAATCAGGTCGTGGTCAAGATCTTGGTGCCGGACCTACCCAACACTTTACTATTATATTCAATACATTCGTTATGATGACTTTATTTAATGAGATTAATGCAAGAAAAATACATGGACAAAGAAACGTGATAGAAGGTCTGCTAACAAATCCTATATTTTACACTATATGGGTTTTTACAATGATCGCCCAGGTATATTGTTTAAGAGTTCTTTAATTCTGTGTTGCATAAATAATTGCATAAATATTTCAGGTCGTAATCATACAATATGGTAAAATGGCTTTCTCCACGAAGGCATTATCTCTTGACCAATGGCTATGGTGCATATTTTTTGGCATCGGTACGTTAGTCTGGGGACAATTAATCACTTCAGTGCCTACCAGAAAATTGCCTAAAATATTATCGTAAGTAAATATTTTCGATTCAGTAGAAAGAGACACGAGCCTTACATATAAATGCACCTTTACCTACATGTATGGCTACACATACGCTTAAACAAAAATAACAGCTGTTAGAGAAATGCATAATAAAATTAATCTCATATATTAGAATTTATTAAAGTTTTTCCCACAGACGCATATACTACTATTTGAAGTTTAATGTGCACATAAGCAGCTTATAAACATCAGAAATGGCGAACTTATAAACATCAGAAAGTGCTTAACAAATTAATTCGTTTGAATATACGTGTAATTAAGTTGTCTGTTTAACCCCTTTTATTACGCCTATACCGTTTGAAAGTTACATAGAACGATACAATCGATGAACAAAAAAAAAAAAATTGGAGCTGGGATGTTCTATTGAAAGTTAAATTTATGATTGCAATTAATTTCAAAAATTTCCTGTACTTTCCCTTAATTTTTCTTTATTTAACGTTGAGTAGGTATAATTGTTTTTTTTTTATCACAAAAAAGCTAAATTGGAATAAGATGCAACTTAAATATAAGAAAACCGTCTCATATCCGTAAACTGCACAGCACAACAACAGCACTTAACGCCATAAACACCCAGATAACTCGTGGCCTAAACCGAAAGCGGCCCTGTGGGAGAACCATTCTAGTAGCGCTGGACATGTCTAAGGCGTTCAACACTGTCAGTCATTCAACGCTACTAGAAGACATAGAGGCCTCCTCTCTCCCACAGAGTGACTCAAACGGTGGTCGGCGAATTATCTGAGGGGTGGTTCCACAGGGTGGTGTCCTTTCCCCATTACTGTTTAACTTTCTCGATTGTCTCTTATGCTGACGATTGTTCCATCATGGCGTCTGGGAATAGAATTGATGACTTGTGCTCGAAAATAAACGTTTATCTCGCCGGCTTTCTCGCTTCGGAGCCTAACCCTCTCCCCTACAAAATCCTCAGCCACACTTTTTACCACGTGGACGAATGAGGCCAGACTCCAACTGGGAATTCACGTCGATGATACACCAATTCCGACGGTGAACAACCCGAAGATACTCGGAGTAACATTCGATAGTCTGCTCTCCTTCTCGGCGCATACAACCGCAATTGTCAACAAAGTACATAGCCGCAACAAGGTCCTCAAGTCGCTAGCTGGCAGCACCTGGGGCAAATACTAAGAAACGTTGCTGGCAATGTACAGGGCAATTGGCCGGCTGGTTCTGAACTACGCTGCGCCAGTGTGGTCACCGGGGACTAGTAGGACGCAGTGGATGAAGCTGCAGACTTGCCAGAACACGGTTCTTAGGACAGCGACCGGATGCCTCCTGATGTCGCCGCAACACCACCTGCACGAGGAGGCCCACATTCTTAAATGGTGTGTTTGTATGGCATATATGTACGTTCAAATTTAAAAGGCTGAAGAGTAGTAGGTACAATTTTATCTACATTTACATGAGTATTTCGTACCACATGTTAGCTTCTTCCTCTTGTTCTTTAAAATTTTTCTTTGCTCTCTCATTCCTTCGCTTTTGTGACATTACACCCGGTTGCCTTCAGCTCGATTGGCGCAATCTTTTATTCTATAAGTTTTGATGGAAATTACTAGTACACCAGGGAAAGCTGGCATTATTTCCCAAAAGCGGCTTGCGTTCTTTCAATTACATCTTTAAATCTTTCAATTTTTATTTCAGAAAGGGATATATGAAAATTTGCAAAAAGTACTTCTTGAATGTTTACACGGGAAACAGTAAGTACTATCGCTTTAGCAAGTTGTCAGAAAAATGCGCAGAAAAGCCTGCGTTGTCACGTTTATCCTCACTTTTATTCGACGACAACTTATACAAAAATTGTATTATAATTACACCAATATAATCTCGTTTTGTCATGGTATTCGTGAATCGTGCTGTTTGACAGTTGCCACTTTTCTATATTGTACAAAAGTGCGCCGTTTTTTGCGCGTGTTAGAACACGCTGTTAAAAGTTTATATTTAATTTGTCTTATGAACATGAAATGAACACAATAAAATATAATAATAAATTAATTAAAAGTTTTTTATTTTAATTTGATTAAACTACTGTTTAAAAAAATGCTAGTTTGTTTAACAATAAAATTCACAAGTTTAAAATTTCTAAGCTTTGTGAAAAACTCAGTATTCAATAAATTAAATAAATAAATAATAATAAAGTGTATCGTACATACATATACCTACACATGAAAAACATTGCAAAAAGTTTAAATTGGATTACGCAGACAAATTTTGGTTTTTTTTTTACCACCTGAGCAAAACACATGTTTTTTTGTATATTTTTTGGTGCTAAATCCAATTTTCCAAGAATTTCTCTGGCACGTCAGGATTCTGAGATATCCTAACTTCAAAGTGCCAAAAAGACGAATTTTGGGGATATTTGAGGTTATATTATGAAAACAAAAAACTCTTTTGGTCGTTTCTACTTAGGGCATCTTTAGCTCTTTCCCTTAAAAATTCATTTTCGTTTGTTGCGACTCGCCGTTTCTTTCTCGAGATATACCAGTTTTAATGTACAGTACTTCGGTACTTCTTCGTAGGCATGGGTCATCATAGCACCGTTTTCGTCAGTTTGATAATATGCAAGCATTTTCAGCTCATCGGGAAGTTGCTCATATGACCTTCATATTTTTCATATTCCGCATGACGATTGACAAATAATGTATCCTTGTTTGAAAAGTATGTACGATTGCAATTAATCGTATTAGCACTTAACGCCCAATCAGCATTTCATAAAACCAAAAACTTTAATTGGCACTCATACCCAGACATTTGGGGCGTTGTTACATATACAGTATTGGCCAATACAATAGCACCCCCATTTCAAAGTGATATTGTTTGCCACTCATGTTTATTTATTTATTTTTAAGAATTTTCAATTAAAATACAGTTCATTCTCTCACAAAACTCACATACACTCAAGCTTAAAACTTTTTAAAAGACCGCAAAAAAGTGCAACATATTTTCACCCAAATTTCAAACTTTTTTCTCAGAAGCGGTAGAATTTTTTTGAATACACAGTTTTATAGCCCATTCAATTTTAGTCTAACAATGTGCAAGTTTCAAGTGGCTAAAAATTACCGTTGATTTTTTAGAATACTCAAAATTCTAGAGCTTCTGAGAAAAAAGTTTGAAATTTAGGTGAAAGTTTGTTGCACTTTTTTGCGGTCTTTTAAAAAGTTTAAAACATTGGTTTATATGGGTTTTATTGGAGAATGAACTGTATTTTAATTGAAAATTCTTAAAAACAAATAATTAAACATAAGTGGCAAACAATATCGCTTTGAAAGGGGGGTGCTATAGATATGTCCAATACTGTATAATTAAGAATAACAAGTAAGAAAGTCTAAGTTCAGGCGAAGCCGAACATTAAATACCCGGCGCAAGTATTAAATATATGATTATCACCTTTCCGAAAGTTACCGCTACATGGTTAGCCGGGGTGAATCAATTTTGAGTCCTTAAATTTCGAAATATTGAAGTTTCAGGCAGTTCTGACATTTACCGTTATATGAAAAGCGACCTCAATTTTAGTATTCAATAATTTTCTAAGCCTTGCTTTTGTGTGGCACGCACAATAACCATACAGAGTTTGGTACAAATTGGTAAAACGGTTACCGTGATACATATATGTGATCATAAGTGGGATAAGTCGTTGCATACGCCGATGACATTGCGATCGCGTTCAGTGGATTGTTTCCGCAAACGCTATGTGAGCTCGTCCTCTTCACGATAAGGTATAAAATGCCTTCGGTTACTCCAACCGGGGCTAAACGGCGTCCGGTTAAGTCTCGCTACAAAAGCCAAATTTCTAGGCGTTATTTTAGATAAGAAGCTGAACTGGAATGATAATATAGAGCAGCGCTATGAGAAGGCTATACTTGTGAAAGGGCCATAAGCAAGAGATGGGGCCTCAGTCCCCGGATTTGCCGATGGATATTTAAAGCAGTCGTTAGACCAATCCGCCTGTATGGAGCGTTCGTGTGGTAGCCTGCGTCAACATCAGGCTTCTCACTGACGTCAAAAGGTCCAGTAGGATGTACATAAGCGGAGCGCTCAGAACCACGCCAAAAGAAGCCCTGAACATTCCCACGACAGCCGGTTCTACGTACCGGAATGACTCGGGTTTTACAAGGGCTGTTTCGGCGATCTAACCCCGTTTAGGTCGGCGAAGTATCTCAGAAGTTGACCGTCCATAGGGCTACATTCACTACGTATTCTTCTACTCAGGGCTGGCATCGAGTCAAACCCAGGGCCAGAAACCTACACCTGCTGTGTATGCCGGAGACGATTACACCACAACTCCACCTCAGTCAAGTGCAATGCCTGCGAGGGGTGGAGTCACCTCAGAGTCTGCTCGGGACTACGGACACATAGACAGTGGACTACGTCGTACGTGGCCCCCTGTTGCTCAAACAGAGCAGCCTCCACGGCTAACCACAGTCCGCCCGAGCAGCTTCACACAGTCACCACAACACAACAACATAATAACACCACAGACCATACCACAGCCACGACAGACCACATAACACACACAACCGCACCACCACCCACACGCCGCCG